CTTGCCGCTTTTGTAGTCAGCGACTCGCGCTCTACTCTTCCTGGACTTCTGGATACCGCAGTTTATTCCACTCGATTGCGCGAAATCTAGTCAACATTATTTCCTTCCCGTTTGCGCAGGACAACGTCCCTAACTCTTGCCAGTGTACAAGCACTTGCTCTACGAAAGCAGGAAGAAAAAGGACTGGATGTCCTTGCAAAACAGCCGGTCGCTACTGCGGAGAGGCTTGTTCGTGCAGTCAACGAAAGCCTTGCAAGAACAGAGAGGTGGGGAAACAAAGCTCGGTTGAGGTCTAAAATTCGCTAGTAGGAAGTACTAGTACAGTTTGCGATTTCTTTTTTATCATGTGAAGGCTGCATCCGTGGCATCCCAAGGATGGGGATTCGTGCAAGGACCGCCAGGCCAACCAGATAATGGTCTTACGGAGGAGCAAGAACGGGACATGGAAAATCGACGAGTGAAGGTACAATACTGAATTATAATTCATAGTCGATGGCACAAAAGATAGTCCTTTAAAAATCTCATCTGCTATTCCTTTACCTAGTAAGTTTCCCTTGTACAAGTTGTTGATTGTTGCTTCCCCTAAATGGAGCAAATTGTCTTTTGTTTTAGTGTCTCGTTTGTGTGTCATGTTCTGAAGTGTGCAAGATTTCTTAGGGAAGTCCCCTTTTTACTAGTTATTTTCTCGTCGATTACGCTCTTAAAAAAATCTACGTGTCAAGCTTCGACAGAATGTGATAAAAAGTAATTGTCCAGCTACTCTAACAAATTATTGCACTATTTTTCAACCTCACAGGAGTTTATCCAAACCCTGGATGAGGAGCTAGCAAAAAAAACTTGCTACAAGAGCTCTACAGAGGGGAGTGGGCAGCATGGACTATATAGATATGTTTCTTATCCAGGAGGACCCAGAAGATGAGAATGACGATGCCGCTCTACCGTCTTCCCTTTCTCTATCCCCCCCCCTGAAGTGTCAAGTCCAGCACCACTGAACCCTGCCCAATCTACACGTGCATTCACCCCAGCCTCAGACTCGAGCATATCTGGAACATCAGCTTCAGGTGGGCCCTCATCTTTCAGGCCACCGCCAACAGCATCTATGGCAAGGTCAAGTGAACCAGTGCCTGAGTGGTGCAAATGTTGACATTGCCGCAGAATGTCGCAGGAGGTTGAGAACCGGTGCTGTAATTCTTGAGACTGTGTCTCACTTAGCGCACGTTTTCGCAAGCTATGCCTGGACCCTGATTATTTACAATTAAGTATAAAGTGTTCAGGGGATATCAGAAACGACCGTCAAGATAATAGCAGCAGAGCCTTCCGAAAGGCTGCCTATCGTCATTATATAATTGAAGAATATGGCTACCTTGGAAAACACAAAAGAAGGGTATGCCCTTCATGCTGTGTATGGAAAATTCGAGAGCACTACCCTTCCTCAACTGGGGTGTACATGGGGTTCAAACCTCGCTAAAATGGAAATAACTTTTTGATAGGTTTCTACAAGGAATTTTTAATTGCAGTTGGTTTGTTCAACCTCATGCCATACCCCCAACCCCACCCCCCCTCAAAAAAAAATTGTCCTGGATTGAGTACCCCTGTGAATATCGCCCCATGAAAACAATAGCATTACAGCTCTATTTGTATTGTGGCAGTGCGAGCAAATTTTATAATATGGATAATTAGACTCACAAAAACGGATTCCAACGGCTAGTTCAATAAGGACCAATCTACTCCGGTATTTACATTTACTAACCAATCCTTTGTCTTCGGTTAACTTTTGCATTATTTAGTTTCACATATTGTGCATTAAAATTATTAAACAATTCTCATAGGTTATATTTATTGTCAATTTATTGTCAAAAACACCACGGTTGCTTATTGTGCATCATACATGACAGTCCTTCGTTGATGAATATTTTCTTACACTGCACATGAATACATAAAGGTTCCATATTTATTACATATTTTACATCAGGTTTCCTAGTTTTTCTTAAACCTGCTGCTGGGCTGAATAAAGAGCTCGCGTGAAGGTGGGGGTGGCACCACAGCAATTGAAGGGGCTATCCTCCTTGGGTCATCAGCTTCCATTGGGACCGCCCTCTGCATATTTTCATTATCCTCCACACGTAGACGAAACACTTTAGCCAGAAGCATCCAAATATAACCATAGTCTTTGGCCTGCTTTACAATTTTCACATTCCAACTCTTTGTTCTTTGGTTGTACTTCCGGGTCACAGCAACCTCGCCTAGCACATCTTCTTGTTCAGGAATATCGAGGTGATAGTTCCAGTCAATGGCAGCTAGTTGTTTTCTTGCTTTGTAGACTTTCTTCCTAAAAAGAACAATTGATCAAAATAGACAGTGTTCCATGAGATCTTTGTTCACACAGGGCAAATTTTTGAAGTATACAACAATTTGAGCTTCTCTATAGGCTAGAGATAATAATTTATAAATACTATGAACTTTTAAAACTATGAAGTGTCGTTACTTCCGTGTAGGAAATTCTCTTGCTGGCATACATCAATGACAGAGAGTTGGCTCGTTCTAATGCGCCTGTATGCCTAAAAGTAACATAAATATTTTTGAAAAACATGGTTAAATATACATGTAATAATTAAAGAAGGACAATGAATTGAGCTTGACATAGAAAGGCATTTAGGGGCTGGCCAACACCTTAAGAAGGTTTTCACAAGGTCCACAGTGGCAATAAAAAATAAACCCTTGCCTAAGCCTGACAACGTTAACGTTACTGAGCTTAGTTTAAGGAATGGGGCTGCTTGGAGTTATTGACATAGTATTCATTAACACATTCTTCTTTTAAGTTTCCTCCATACATTTCTTTTGCCAAGGACCAAGCAGACAGGAATACAAACCAAAATATTTTTTCTTTGAACATTATATTTGAATAAACCAACGTATTGAAATAAGATATATATTTAGTATTTCTTATGAAAACAGGGTTCCCCTTATATACCTGAATCTGGTGTAGTACTTGAAACTTTCAAGAAGGTCAGGATCCAGGATAATTTTTTGCAGTGCCTCAAACTCTTTGGATCTCCTGTCAAACCATGGAAGCTGGTGGTTTTCCTCAGTGATTGGCTTGTGGTCACAATGGCCATCAGCCCACTCATGTTGATTGCACACATGGTGTAATAGTGAGATCCAGGTATCCTGATTTCATAATAGTAAAATTTCATTGAAACAGATATAACAAGATGATAATGACATAGTGTCTGTTTACATGGAGGTAGGGAACCCCAGGTAGGTGAGGTAACCCGCTTTGGTGGAGTATCCCGCTTGTCCATATAATATCTCATTTTAATTTGATAGATGGGGTGACCCACCACATTTTACCTCACCTATCCGAGGTCCCCCACCTCCATGTAAACAGACCCTAAAACATTGTGAAGAAACAAAGTGTTTACAGCCTGATATAATATAATGTGATAATTTTCAAAAAAGTCTCAGAAAAAAAAAATTCAGACCTGTCACTAAGATTTCAAGTTGCTGGGTACATAAAATAAGTAGGCAGAGAATCAAACAACGGGGGGTTTCGTTTGGTTCCATTTTTCTTCTATTTTCCTTTGAGTGTAGCTGGGGGCCACATAGACCCATCACCTCTTACTGACAGCCCTGTTATTAATTACTTTAAAAAAGATGATAAATTGGAATTACCTTCAATATCTTCAGAGCTTCTAGCTCATTGCCTTCCACTTCAGATGCCAGACTGCAACAGTGCCAAAAGTGTCTAACAATGTGGTCAGACCAAAGGGCCACTTTTTCCATCCCCTTTGCACTTCCCACCTACAGAAGATCAATAACAAGCCTTAAATTTTTTTCTCTGGCAGAGATAAATGCAACGACTCAAAAAAAATAAACCTACATTGACAGTCCAATCATCATCGTCAAACTTTGAGCATTTAATTCTCTACAGATTATGTTAACAACATTTCTTAGTCCATTCCTGGCCCATTGGTTAAAGATATGATTTGATTATCCTGGAAATATACAACAGTGAAGTATACTACATGGGCATATTTACAAGTGACAACACAATGTATGTTTATGTTCTATTTATAGGAAAGAGTCTTACCAATACATGGGACAGAGTCACATATTAGAAAGAATTACACTAAATTTGTTCTTTGTGGCCACTGTAAAATTAATATAATATCAACTCTAACTCACATTTGAAAGACACTTCCGGATTCCTTTTGACTTATGCCAGACATCAAGTGAGTGGAATATCTGTCTAAAGGCATCAGCTAGAATACAAGGAAAATAGTTTAGTATGTTTAGAAAATACAAAGTAAACTACTTGAGTTCACTGATAAATAGGAAGCATTGAAAACCCACAGGCAAAAAGCATGAGTTGTAAATAACAGCAGAAATTTTGGTAAGAATATGGAAATGACAACACAGCTAACCCATTGATGGTTTGGTTCAATTGATGAGAAAAAAGTTGACAAGAAAAGCACAACCTAAAACATATTTCAAGGCTGGGTGCTCTATGGTTTTAATACAAAACTATTAACGTAATCTCCCGGCATACTTCAACCTTCCTCATCCATCATGATTTATTGAACGTTCAGACATTCACTCAATGAAAACCTGATGCATCTAAAATTTTTATCACAGGAAGAACTTCAAATTGCTCCTTCACCGTTATGTCCGAGACAGATATGTGAAATAATTATGGAAACAGAAAATCAATACCGAAATGACCACCTACCTATTGTCACAAGCCATTCCAGCAACTGGACTTTCCACTGGTGGAGCAATGACAGAACCGTCATACTTGCCTCTTTTCACAGGGGTCGAGGTGTGCAAATTAGAATCATCTGCAAAACAATATGCAACATATTATAACTTTTATTTCAATGAAAACAGAATTAATCCCGATGGACTGTGTCCATAAATGTTCCGGCCACATGCACTGCTCACATAAAAAAGAAGTCCCTGAACAGGGATTCCAGATCGATCTCGTGCATATAGTTACCTGCTTAGGATTGTTGTACTGCACTTGACTCTTCCGTACTCTTCTTCATGGCTTGCTTGGCTTTTAAACTGTTAAAATAAAGTAATATTTAATAGGTAGTTAGATTCGACGTTGCAGCTTAGACTAAAAAGCAATATAAATGTAGAAGTCTTATTTTCTCACCTTTGTTGCCTTCGCATCTCAAACGACAACAAATGCTGCAAGAAAGCAGTGTCGGTGGAGGAGACACACTGAGCTTTCAGCGTTTTAAACGTGTCCAGAATGTCACGGCGGACGTAAATCCTTCCATGGGACTTGAGCCACGAACTCCGAGAGTCAGATCTCTTCTCTATGCTCCTAACAAAGCTTCCAGGTGACAAGAGCTTACGGCCACTGCCGTAGCGTTTACCGCCTCGAGCCGACATCCTTCGCTTGGAGCGCTAAATAGCGCTTAGGATTTCCACAATTCTCCAAAAAGTTACTGTAACATGGAAGCCTTATGTCTAAATAATTTAAATATATAGATAAAATACAAAACGAACACCGATTAGCGACGATGGAAACAGATTTTCACTTGATTTGTGAGGATTCGCGTCAGTTTGATTTCTTGTTGGGCTGAACACTTTTCAAAGAATTGAGCATGCGCAATACATGTGACACGGCTCTTTTAAGACCAAAATACAGGATGTTACCTTCATGTAGATTCTTTTTGCCTGACATACTTAAACTTAAAATTGTGAATTGTAAATTTTTTTTTCCAATGTGCTTATTATTATTAATATTATTTCTTATAATGCATTTAATGTATATATATATTTTCTATATTATTTTTACGTAGTGTCAGCTCGAAGATATTAGCTTGTTAGCTGCTCTAAAATTCGAGTATAAATAAAGTTTGTTACTACGGAGATGTAATGTTATGTTACTACGGAGAGAGGGAGAGATGATAAGAGAAAGGGAGAGAAGGGTACAGCAACGGAGACAAGAAGGGAAAGAGGAAGGAGGCATGCAGAGGGGAAGACGAAGGGAAATAAGAAGAGGAGAAAGTAGGAGGGAGGGAGGATGGAGTCTTCAGAGGAAGAGAAAACAGAATTGGTAAGTTTGGAGCTTATAAGCAATAAGCAAGCTTTCTGTTCCTAGGTGGCTTAGGACGAGTGCTTTTCTTAAATGGTGTACGTAAAAGACATTCTCTGAAACAATCCACCAAACACTTGCGTATCGGCTACAAACTAATAAAACCATAAATATTTTTTTATATATCATAGGAATACTCATTGTGTTATGCTTATCACAGCAAAGACCTTGGCATAGTCAAGCTACCATCACACTGCCAATAGCTTTACCATGCTTGATTTGAATTATTCTTGCAGTAATCTCCTTTTTTTTTCAGAAAAGTGTCCTGGGGAGAGTAGGTTAAAAAAAGGAATAGCTATTTAAAATAAATGTTAACAACGTTCAAGGAATAGTATTAGAACCACTAGGGTCTGAAGAATCGGATGAATTTGTGGCTGCTACTCTCTAACAAGGTGTTTGATGGCAATTGTGTTTGCTGGCCCTTGGTGCAACAACATGATGCATCATGATTTTGTTTTCATATAAAAATATATATATATTATTTTATCATTTCAGTTAGTTGCCACAAATGCAGAGGATACGGCCACATTCAGGCTGAGTGCCCGTCAAAAAGCAATCCAGTCAATATCATACAGCCAACACAAAATGCTACGAAAGCCCCGACAATAAATAATTCTCATTTCAATGCTGCCCCGGATAATGTTAATTTTCATTAGGTGGAAATGAGGCTGGAGTTGAGAAGACATTGATTTGATTCAACCACTTACAATCATTTTGCTCTTAGGGGTGGAACATTTGATTTTTGATGGGGGGGTTGCAGGATTTTTAGACTGCTAGATATTTTTTTTTATTGCTCCAGCCCTGCAGGATTTTTTTTTAATCTCCCTGTCCTTGCATGATATTTTTTTTAATGGAAATTTAAAACACAAATTTTGAAGTTTAATATTAATAACTTGACCATCACCAGCCACTCAAAATTCACCCTTTAGGCTATTAAAAACCACCTTTACACGCAATGCATTTTTAAGTTTACATCTTTCTTTCAAAGTAATAAAGAGTTTCATTTTTATTCAGTGTACAAAGAAATGCATCTCCACTAACCTGCGGCTAGTTGATTTCCCTGTCAGGCTAGTGGATGTTATATGCATCACTCTCTGTACTTGCCCAACAGATCACTTGCCCACTGAACAAGTGAACGTTTTTTTCTTTCTAATTACGTAATGCTACTGAGAAAAGCTTTCAAACTTGCGTGTAATGGTTCCAACTTGTCCAAAGGGCGAGCTGGAAATTCCATCTTATTTGAATCCTGTTTTTTGCTTTCAAAGCAAGAGAGAGGGACTTCAAAGAAGGAGAAATTGCACAGTAATCTGGCTTCTCAATATACGCATTTAGTATTTGGAGTTATGTAGAGTTTAAAAAAAAAGGAGGGTTCAAGAAATGGGGACCTCACTGTAGATTTTACCAGTTTAGACGAATTTCGAGTGGACGTAGAAGCAGCTGGAGGGGATATAACCTGCAGGTGTTGTCAATGGTCCTTTTTGAAGGCCGGTACCAGGACAGTTCCGTTCCCACAGCCCATCATAGGAGTACCAGGCTTGATCACCCCTCTTCACTGCTCCACGATAATGCTAGCCATTATAAAACGTCATTCCCATCAAACTAAATCTTGAGAAAAGGAAAAGAGAAAATCATTGCTGATATTTTTAACAATATGATGTAGTACATACATCTGCAACTTAAGATAAAAGCAGAAAGGGAGTAGTATCCCATTGAATATGCTTAATATATCAAAGTATTCCATCAGAATATGCATACCTTTCTCCTTCCATCAGCACAAAGAGAGGAATCTGAGAGGCATCTGTGATGATGCCCCTCTGAGGGAAGTATTCAATTGAAATTGGTAGAAAAAGAGGGACGCCAACCACAAACTGTCTCTTTGTGAAGGACCTCTTCCCACCACAATAATAGTGATACTGCTGCCTGCAGTGAAGATAGGAAAACACGAATAAATATCACGTGATTCAATATATTTAATAATGTATAAATTATAAATTATAAATAATAAATAAATCGTAATAAAGCAAATAAAACCCATAGTTTAATAGCTTAGTCTAGTTAAGCACTCTGCCTTACATGACTTGACTTGTTATTGGGTGAATGTAGTTCACCACACCCAAATAATGTGGGGCTCCAGGGACAATTTGTCCCAATGACAAGCTGCATGTGGACTGCCTGGTGTCTGTGGCCATCCAGTCATCTAGTGCAGACTGCAGAAATGCAGGTGGAGGTATTCCTACATCACTATATCAGCAAAAAAAAAGGGGACAGTGATTGGCGTTAGCCTACATACATAAACATCTGGTATTTTCTTCATGTGTGAGAAAGAAATAAAGGAATTTTTTATATGTGAAGGATATGCTCAATATAAAAATAAAAACAAAGATATATTCATGAAGGCATAAATGAGTTTAACGTAACAATGAAATTGGCTGTTAATATCTTAAATATTCAAGGTGATCAGATTTGATTTAACAACAACAACAACTTTATTCGTACCCATACATCATACAATGGAAATAAACAAAATATATATCAATAAAAATATAGAGGAGTACTAGCTGCCCCAAAAAACCATAAAAGGCATACCTTACTGAAATTGAATAGGATTTGAAATCCTTTGTTGGGCCTGGACAGGCAGGTGAACTCCATGTTCCAGAGTACTTGGAACTAGCCGTAGGTTGTAGGCGAGAAAGGAACATGTCTTCTTCATTGCCCCACAAATCAAGAATTGGAGAAGTTAAAGGAAATCGTCCATGAAAAAGGGAGACCCAAGAAAGTTTTCCATCAGCATGGCGCCCTTGTTCAAACAGTTTTTTAATTCTGACGAGCTCTGTAGCATAAATGTCGACTGAAGCATTCAGTTCAGAGAAAAAGGCACTGTAATCACTCATTAAAACAAAGAAAATCGTCAGGTAGTTATCAATAGGGCAAGTGTTTGTCAACAATCTTACTGAAGAGTTACTATTGTAGACGGCTCCTCCCCATGGTGGAACTCTCAGGGACTGACATGATGGCTGTGTTCCAACAGTGTGAGGAAGGGAAATGAACGTAGAAGAAGATTTTGACCGAGAAGACGTAGTCGTGGACTTTGGTTGTTCCTTGGTAGAAGATGTGTAGAAATGCTTCTTGATATCCTCAATCTTCTTTGCTTTGGTGTATCCTTTCGCTTCACATTGTGACTTTGAAAGTCCCATCTGATGCATCATATACAGGTGAAGTTGCGAGACATAGAGTTTATCTAATGTATTTGATGCAATATGATTTGGCCAGTTAATTTCATCATACGTTTTGGCCTTCTCAAGTGCCCTAGTGTTGGCGGTTGTTTTCTTTGAAACTGCTGCTTTTACTTTTAAGTCATATCGCCTTTTTATTTCATTCTCTGTCGCCCTGCGGAGATCTTCACCAACACATTGTTTAACAAAAGAGTCTACATTACTTTGGTACTTTGGTACTTCTGTAGAGTGTTGTTTGAGTCAACCACAGATAGTGAGACAGAGCCATCACTGTGGACCTCCTCTGTTACCTCAAGCATTGGTTCCCCACATTGTGCCATCATTTTTTCAAGTTGCTTTCGAGGACAATAATCATCTAGTTCTCTTAAACAAGCATCCTTGACAATTTCCTTCTCAAGTCCAAATTTCTCTGTGACATCTCCTTCCAACAATTGTCTCATAGTGCAGTAGTGAAACTCATCTTCATTGTTATAGTCAGAAACAGGAGGAGGCACTCGAGCTAATGGTTTGCCTTTCCAGCCATTTTCTAAAATCTCTGCATTTTTTGTTAACTTATGGAAAGAAAACATATCTCTCTTCCCTTCTGTGCACCCATTTCGTATCCCCTCCCATCCATTGTCATATACGTAATAATGTTGTTGGAAGAACGTCTGTACGTATTTGAAATATTCTCTTCCAGCACATTTAGAAAGCATTGCAGGAGAGTTTGCATTCAAACACTTTGACATGAAGTCGTCATCGAAAAAAAACTGATGATGAAGATCGTAGCTAGGAGTTCTAGAGTGAATTGAAGTAGCCATACATGGCTTACCATCATAGTGACTGCTTACATCCTGTGCACATTTTTTGGCAGCCTTCTCAGACCTCTCTGACATTACTCTTTTAACTTCCTCCCTACTTATATCGTGGAGAGTGGCTTTGCCAGCTTCAGTGAGAATGGAGTCCTGCCATACTGTATCGGAATTGAGCGTCCATCTCCTAAACATTCATTCAAAGAGCGCATCACTTTCTCTGCCACATGACTTGCGGAGTCTCCTGAGATTCAAGAAAAAAAAAAA